CTAGTATCCTTGTATTTGGATCCTTTCTTTTTGTTAGACGCAAAATAGGAAACTTTCATAGAAGCCCAAGGATACTTTCCCAACTCATCTCAGTAGAGTATTTAAGGGAAATATGCATAATAAAACAATATCTCGCAAAAATAAATTCTTTCTTTGTAAGGCATGACAATGTCGGAGAACACATAACGAGTCCATAAAAAAAATTTCATTTCTAATAAGATATCAAACAATCTCTTTTATAAAATTTCATCTAAAAAATCCATCAAAATAAACTTGACTTTTATTAGGACATTTCTAACACAACCAACGATGTAAAACACACCATTTCAAGTCAAAATAAAGCAGAGCATGAAGATAAAATGTTAAGTCCAAAGAGAATTCATAGATATTTAAAGTACGTATCCAAAGCAAATTTAGAATTTGAAAAATATACCTTTACTTACCAAATTCTCTTTCCTTATCCCCTGCAAGAAAAGTAATATCATCTTTTCTTTGGTACCCAAATCTGCTTGGGTCCTTTTTGGTTAGAAGAAGCATCAAATCTCCAATTGATTGTCTTGGATTTCTTCCAATCAGTTGGACATTGTTGCTTATAGTGATCACTCGAGTTCGAGCAATTATAATATTGAAATCCAATAGGCTTGACAAATTGCTTACCAAAATGATTTCTATAATGCTGGATTGAAGGCCTGCGCTTTAATCTCTCCTTGACCTTTGGAAAGTCATTCTTGATCTTACTTTCATTTTCGAAACCGAGGCCGGATTTGTTGTAATAGGGGACTTGAATGGATAGAACATGCTCTAATGTCTTTGAGCCAAGAGAAATTTTTTTGCAAATCTTCGGAATTTCTTCCTTATAGGGATCAACTTCTTTTTGCAAAATATCCTTTTCTTCCTTGACAGAGGAATTCTCCTTTTCAAGCTCAATGATCCTTTTCTCATTCGTAATATTTTGTTGCTTCAATTTAGAGACTTCCTTTTTCAACTTGGAGATCTTCTTCAACGCATTCTCATGTTCCGTGCTTAACTCTTCAAAAAGATCATCATCATCGAGAATAGGATCTGAACAAATCACCTCATCTTCTTCGGATTCAATGTCCGCCATTAAGCATAGATTTCCCTGCTCAAGGATTTCATCATCCCTGGATTCAGACTCTTCATTGTCGTCTCTGTTCTTAAGATATTTTCTTTCTCCGGATTTCTTTGTTGGCTTCTTCTCTTTGGGGTTTCTTCTCTTTCTCACAAGGTGTTGAAATCTTTTGATCAGCAACTTCATCTCCTCATCGTCGTCTTCTTCATCTCCTTCAAAATCTGTTTCATCAGAATCAATGTTAGATTTTAAGGCAATTAACTTCTTACCTTCTGGATCTTCTTCATGTATACGTTCTACTTCATATGACTGAAGAGTTCCAATCAGTTCATTCATTGATAGTGGCATGATCCTTTCAGTCTCTCGAAGTGAGGTTTTGATGTTGTCCCACTGATTTGTCAGTCCTCTCAGAAGTTTGTTGACTTTCATTGCATCTGGAACTGGTTGTCCTTGATAAGCAAGACCGTTTACTATATCAGTAAACCTGTCATATAAATCAGCAATTGATTCTCCAGGCTTCATTTTGAAAGATTCATATTGACCAAGCAGAAGATTAATTTGAGTTTCCTTGGCTCGATCTGTTCCTTCATAAGTAATAAGAAGAGTATCCCAGATTTCCTTAGCTGATTCACAAGCAGCAATTTTTTTATATTCAATAGGTGATAAGGCACAATAAAGAGAATAAATTGCTTTGGAATCTAAGGTTTCTCTTTTGGATATCTCGGTTTGAGATAATGGAGGATCTCGCTTGCTTTGCTTGCATCTGCCTTCTCTTTTGAATCGAAGACTTTGGATTGACACCTCGATGATGACATCCCATTGCATGTGGTCAATTGACTTTATGAATGCCTTCATCTTATTCTTCCGACACTATATTCCTTGCCATCGAAATATGGTGGTGCATTTGTTGCTCTGTCCTTCAATGAGCCATGGAGCACCATAGCTAGCCATATAGATCGTTAGCTCGAAGTAAAACACTTCAATAAGCGAGCAACCTGCTCTCGATACCAATTGATGTAGCTAGCAAGGATCACCTAGAGGGGGGTGAATAGGTGATCTAAAACAAGTTTCAATAATTTATGCGGAAACAAAATAAATAACAGAAGAGTCTGAATAAAATTCAGATTCAAGACAGATTATATAGACTGTGCTCTTGATGTGCGAGAATGTAAAGTAAGAGATAAGGGATAGAGAATCTGCACACAAGTTTATAGTGGTTCGGCTTATAGCAAGCCTACGTCCACTCTCCCACGCTGACCCTCTTGGGCTGGATTCCACTAATCAAATCAATGAGAAGTTACTGACAAGTTGTCTTTGCTTAAACCCAAGCACTTCTCCCAGTGGTCTTTGCTTATACCAAGCCGATAGATCACACTATCTCACACCTAAGCACACACTTATAACACTGTCTACACCTCTCAAATGATTACATGTTTAAGCTCACGAAAGACAAGAGATTGAATCGGAGTATGCTCAGACTTTGAACTTGTTGATTCTTGATTTCGTTCTCTACCTTCTGCTCCTCGTTGATCTCCTTTTATACTCCTCCACTTCCAAACTAGCCGTTGGACAGTCTTCAGAGGATCATCTTCCAATATTCACCTTTGGACAGATTTGTATAAAATGGATTGAGTAGCGATTGGTTGATAAAATCGAATCCCGCGATTCAGTCGCCCATACAATCGAGAATCTTGGTTTCCATAAGTAGAGCTTTATCCGTTGTAATGTATACTTGTCGTAATGTTTGATTGTCAATCAATTATAGCCTTAGATTGAGACAATCAAAACTTTCCTTCTGTGAAATCCATACCATATCACTAGCTGTTATGTTTCGTTCTGAATTCTGCGTCTGAATAATTTTAGTGTCTGCGTCTGAATAATTTCAGCGCCTGCATCTGAAGAATTTCTGCGTCTGAAGAAATTCTGCGTCTGAACTTTCTCGTTCTGAGTCTGAATCTCTTTTGCTTGAAGTTCTTTCACAATCTGAACACGAACTAGATCAAGATTGACATATGCTTTTCTTCCAAAAACAACTTCCTGAATCAAAATACTTCAAAGCATTTATCAGACTTACAAAACACTCATGGACAGTTTTGTCAACTTCAAAAACTATTGGGAATTTTCCTTAACAAGGCTCGCCTTCGCCGTCGCTAGCGAGGGCGAGCCTTGCCAGAGGCCGGCGAGGTCTAGCCGGTCGCTGGTCTGGCGACCGGCTGGAGGAATGGGGAGGGGAGGAAAAAAAAAAGAAAAGAAAAAAATAAATAAAAATTATTAAAAGTTGTCCACGTCAACGCTGGTCATGCCAAATAGGTCAGTCGACATCCACGTCAGTAAAATCCGATCAAAATTAGCCGGAATGATTGAATTGGTACTTAGACAAAATGTTTAGGACTCAATTGACACAAAAAAATGTTTCGGATTCAATTGGCATCAATGCAAAAGATTTAGGATATTTCTAACACTTTTCCTTCCTATGGTTTGTCTATAAAAGTAGAAATCTGCCCAAGCCTATAGTAAACTTATTTTCAATTTGTTAGTAAATTATCTTATGGATTGTAATTTTCCTTTGGTGTACATAATTATCTCCTTCCGTAACTTTTTTTTTTAGTTATAAATTTCTTTTCTTTTATTGTTAATAAAATATCTAATTGTTGGTAACTTTCCTTTACACTTATTTTGCTTACTCATCGTAACTTCTTTTAATAAAATGTAAGTTTGATGACCTTGGCGTCCTTAACTTTCCTTCGGCAAAATTAAATTTGGAATTTGATAAATCACGTTTGTTCCCCTTCTTATCCAGTGGTCCACCAGTCCCGTAAAAGAGAGCTTCGACTTGTGAGATTCGCGTCACAATCATGATTTTTGGGCACACTAAAGCAGTGTTTTTTTTTTTTTGGCCGGACAGTAAAGTAGCGTTGGAAACACTATTTTTCCAAATATTTTGAAGATGAATGAATATAAAAGTAAAAATGCAAATTAAGAAAAAGTATTACTTTATCAATTTCAAACAAATACTTAGGCACTAGTTAAGCAACTGTGGAAATAAATTGTACAGTCAATACATCAATTTGCGACTTTTCTCATGTTATGTTTGACGAATATTATAAAAATTAAAGGGATAAGTGTACTGAAAGTCCTAAAATATATCATGAAAGTATAGCTGAGTTATAAAACCTTCGAAAAATGCAATCAAATCCTAAAATTTATCACGGAAGTGCAATTAAGCCCTAAAACTTTATCTGTATTTTATCACAGGTGTACCATTTTGAGATTTTTGATGATTAAAAAATTAATTTAGAGTAAATTTATCATCGGTGTATTAGTTTAGGATTTTTCGTGATATTAAACTAAACAAAAAAAGTACAGTCAATTTATGAAGGTGGAGGACAACTGAAACAAATATATCTAGGATCTAAATTTGAGTGATTCAGCTTGCTAGGTCATTCATTGTCCCGGAGACCATCTTTCTAAAGTCAAATGGCTCTATTGACATTAAAAAAGAACAATTAAAATATAAAGATTGCGTTGTTGTCTTGTCGGTGCAAGGAAAGGGAATGGGACAGGCTCCTTCATCTTGATATGTATAATACGAATGCAGTATCAATCAATATTATCATTCCATGCATGATGCACCATTTACCAACACTATTCAAACGTTCTAATTTAATTAAAACGAATGTAAATTGGACTTATCTCTTCTGTTAAGTAAAAAAAAAAAAATCTATCTACGCTCGAACATTTATCTCGTCAGTTCAGTAAATAATAGACCATTTACGTTCGGAGCTTCTGACAATTCACAATAATATTCTTATGGCCGCCTGAGTGGTTGTGTCAAATAAGATTTGTTTAAAGTCGTCTTGTTAAACAGATAATTCCTAGTGAAACACTTCCAACAGAACACTAGCTGATCGAAGACCATAAGAGAAAAATGACTCAAGGACCAGTCACAGCCATGACCGTTAGTACATTAATGGGTTCATCGCCAGAGTTGAATCACTCCACACAAAATGGTCCAAACCTACAAATCCATCAAGTTTTGAATTAGAATTCATCCTCCATGGCCCAACTCTTCGTCATTTCTTCTGAGAAGAGGAGATTTAACTCCCGAAGTCTCTTGCAATTCCTCAAGTACAAGGAAATGAGGCTCTTAACGTCGCCGATAGAATGGTGAATCCGCTCTGGTCCGATACAATCCTCAAGGATGAGAATCTCCAAACGTTTGAAAGCTGAGAGGTCGGGTTTACATCTGAAAAATAGCAATCTGTAAGTCTCGGGACTTTCAGCTGCTTTGCCATCTACAAGAATGAAAAATGTTTCCGTATCTAGCGGGTGCAGATGATTCGATCGATAAAAATTAACATGAAAAGCAAAAGCGGGCGTGACTTTCTTTTTTCTGTCTTACCATGATTGAACTCCATGCTTCCCATGATCTCTGATTGGGCTCAATTTCAACTCCAGCACAAGTACTATCTCTAAATGCGAAATAGGTCGCCACAAAAGATGTAGGACATCCCTTCCACTCAAGCCAATTTAATTCAGGCAATAGCTTCGGAGAATCTCCAATAATACTCGCATTTCTCACTGTAAGGAACCTTAGGCTTCCTACATTTTCAAATTGCTCATTTGTGTATGTCTGCTCCTCTTTGTCAAGTCTTTTGTCTGAGCTGATGTCGAGACAAATAACCTGAATCTTTCCAGATACCTGTAAGAGGGAAAAAAGAGTCATAAGAATCACTTCAGATCAACCATGAACTACTATCAACTTCCTCTCACATGCGATGCACCAATAGTTTTATTTTGCATTAAAAAATTTTCAAATGAGAAACTACTGTCTTCTTGGAAACCTTTCATTGAAACTCTCGGCTGCAATTGGCGGATTATTTGCTGATTCCATGACATTCGCTTTTTCCACGAAAATAGTTTCGCTTTCAGTCACAAAATTGCAGTTTGAAGTGGACATCTTAACGGTAATCTTGTCAACAGATTTGATTTAATACTTAAACTTCAGATACAGAACCACTTGCACATACGGTCTTCCTGTATGCACTTTGAGACCCGGCCTTTGCAAAAGAATATCACGATGTCAAAGCTTGCAAAGGACTACTACACCACATGAGAAGAGGTTGAGTTATATCAAGAATCCTATGAAGAGTACTAACAACTCGGAGCAAATTATAAGTGGCAACAGCAAAGAACTTTGAAATGCCTTTTCGTAATGTCTCATGACCTGCCTGCATCTCCATCCTATGGTGTTTGGGGAATTTCTCCGAATTTCATGAAATGCAGCTTAAATCTACACAAGAAGGATAGGGATTAACTGATTATCAATAAACGAAGATATTGGAGATCGCAGCATCACAATTTACCCATGAAAGATAAGGTACAAATGCATAAACATCATTTGCACCAACACCAAAATCTGGGGACATATCTTGCCACACATTCCAGGTGTCTCTGATTTGTTCACAGTTGAACAGCAATTAACAGAGACTTCATTGGCTGGCTGATGAAAAGGAAAGCGTAAATGACACAAATAGTCCCTGAACTTTGGCTCAATGCGCAATGAGGCCCCTGGACTTTAAATTTGTTCAATGTAGTCCCCAAAATTTAGTCTAATGTGCAATGTGATCCCTGAACTTTTAATTTGTTCAATGTGGTCTGTAGACTTTTGGTACATATTCAATTTAGTCCCTAAACTATATGAAAATGTTCAATCTTATCCCTAAACTTGAATTAATGAACGGACAACATTAAACATTTTCATATAGTCTAGGGACTAAATTATATGTGTCAAATATCTAGGGACCACATTGAATAAATTAAAAGTTCAGGGACTGCATTGCACATTGGGCTAAAGTTCAAGGATCACATTGAATAAATTTGAAGTTTAAGGAACACATTGCACATTCAAACGAAGGTCATGGACCATTGTTTTGTTATTCCAAAAGGAAAACAATAGACTTGGGTAAGCAATTAGCAAGACTTTCCTTGTTTGTGTTTTGAAATGAAATTGGTGTTGATAAGATTATGCTGAGAAGGTGATTTGCCTAAACTAGAGAACAGAAAGATGAACATGTACTTGGTTGTTTCTCAATATCCAATTAGCAAAATCAGCAATACAAGATAGTTTGCTAGGAGGCAAATTTGGACTTTACAAATTCAACACCGCATACATGAGAATTGATCTTTTCAATCAGAAACCTATATGACAACGTTCAAAGGATGTTGTCACACCAATAAATTGATAGAAAATGGAGGAGATTGTCATCATGCATCCTTGTATACGGGTTTTCAGGTGAAATTCCACGGCTCATATAGTATAAGCACATAAATTAGTCTTTCATTATTATGGTATGATTGGCAGTGCAAACCTACCTCAGCAGAGCCTCATCGAGTTCGGGAGTGATATCAATAGAATGCAACCGCATCAAACAACTCTGCATCAAAGTAACATACAAAAAAATCAGCAAGTACGTACTTGATTAACAGAGAGGTAAAATCTAATGAGCCTACAGAAAGCAAATTCAATTGAAAATACTACAGTCAATTATTTGGGTATGTGCTGTTGAGACCAGATCACGTGTTTGGATCTTCACAAGCATCAAAACTGTTGAGGTTGATGTCTTGTATTCTGTTATCCAAGAGATTATGAGGCGGTTCCGAAAGGCCCCCTAACGACTGAACAGCACCCGGGCCGCCAGAGGCGTTTTATGTTCAGTCATAGAAGGATTTATATGGGAAAGCTATGTAACAGCCCGAATTTCGATGTAATTTCCGGGATCAATGAAACTGATATTATTTCGCATTTCATTTTAGTAAGTTTCACCCAGAGCTGATCACTCTCGGGATACTAACCAATAGGGTATGGCTAACTAGTAGATGGTACGTGGACCGGGGACCCTATTGCGAAAGGGATACCGATCACGAGAGACGCTGAGGAAATATTTTGGGCCAACGTGAGCCGATCTTAGGAAAGGTAATGGATTTGGTTTGGCCAAGGCCAACGATGTACGATTGGGACGCAGGTGATTCTGCAAGACCAAAAGTGCACGTGGTCAACCAGTCCGGAACTTGAACCTAATGATTGTGACCTCTGGAACTAATGATAATTTCTCATTCTCTCAATGATCGAGACCGTCACGATACGAATAGCCTTAGGTCGATACGCGTAACCTCTAAACAGCCACCCGTTAGTGAGAGACCCTGAAATTGAAAGTTCAGCGGGTTTTGTTCACGGAATTGGGCCCGGATTTCGGTATCGATTTTCAAAGGCTTAAGAGACTATTTTTGGGAATCTGACGTCATATTACGCTGGCCACTCACATGTGGAGTTAGTACGAGTAAAAATTGGAATTTCGGTCCGGGGGTGAAAAATTACGATTTTGCCCCTGGGATGTCAGCGTCGCTTTTCGAGGCCAAATGAGGTTATTTTTCGTGGCCGACGCCATTTTTGGGTGGCCACGCATACCAGGAGTCGTTTTGGACAACAATTGGAATTTCGACAAAAATTGGAAAAATAATATTATTTTATTCCCGAAACTTTGACGTGGATTTTCGAGGGCTTACGCGATGAATTTCGCGATTCCGATGTCATATTATGTTGGCCACGCATATATGGAACGCGTATGTGCGAAAATTGGAATTTCGGTTCGGGATCGGAAAATTACGAAAATGCCCCTAGGCCATTTTTGATTAATTCCGAAAATTGGATTTAATTTTTGGGATTAACCAAGGTGAGTTAAGGTTAAACCAGGTCTGGTCAACCATGGTTAGGGGCAAAAGACCATTTCACCCCTAAATTATTGGATTAGGGCAAATCCTAGCCTTTGGATCAAGGGCAAAATTGTCCATTGGCTTGATTTTTGACACATGGCACCCTAGGCCCTAGTTTTTGACTAAGATAAGCATTTTTTCTCTCTCCTCTCTCACTCCCACGACCAGACCAGCCTTCAGAAAAATTTTCTCTCCATTTTCCCCTCATTTTCTCTCATTTTCTCTCAAATTTTCACTCTCATTTTCTCTTTCGCCGGAGCACGCCGCCGACCGCCGTGCCTCGCCGTCGACCCCCTTGGTCCCCCGCTTCAGCTCAGCCTCGGTTCCGTCCATTTCTCTCTCCCTTTCCCCTTCTTTTTCTCTCTTTTTTCTCATTTTCCATTACTCAGGAATGTATCGCCGGAGCTTCGCCGGAGCTCCGATCGCTGCCCGTCCAACACCCGGCTTTCGGCATGTCCATACGTCGCCGTTCAGCCAGTCCGCACAGTGACCGTACAATTTACTGTTCACGCCCCCGTACGGTCACTGTTCATCCAGACCCTTACGGCCGTCGCCTCGCCGGCCACCGTTCCCAGCCGTCCGTACAGTGTGTCCGTACGGTGGTACTATTCGCGCGTCCGTACGGAAATCACTGTTCACCCGTCCGTACACCCGCGCCGCCGTCCGCCGGGAATTCCACCGCCGGTTTCACTGTTCATCAGTGATCGGCCGCCATTCCCCGTCGTCGTGACCCTTGTTTTGGTGAGTAAAATTCCTAAACCCGGATTAGGACTGATGTTGCGTTTTTCTGGACTGGTTTAGGTGTTATCGGTGCATTTTGGACTGGCTTAGATAATAGCAGTGTAATTGAGACTGGGTTGAGGACCGATTAGTAGAATTTATTATCGGAAAAATTTAGTGGATTAATGAAAATCGTTGGGGAGGATAATAGGGTTTAATGACCAATTTAGGAGTTCATCGGTGAAATTGCCGGGTATGCCCGGGTTGTCTGAATTATATTGGTGCTCGTGGTTCATTGCATTGCATAACATGGACACGCATTGCGTATGCCAAGAGTGAGGCATGTGATGAAAATTGTGCGAGAATGCGTGTCTGCCATGAGCATGTGATCACCTAAAATACCCTGAAGCGTTATACGCTGGGTTCAGATAATAATGAGCTGTGTGATCACCTAAGGACCTTCGGGTCGATACCGTCCTCATGCACTTTGAAGCAGGACGATGCCCGGTACGTCCGGAAGGCGACCATCCTCATGCACTTTGAAGCAGGCTCTGGTTCGCAAGGAGAACAGTGTTGCGCCTCATGCACTTTGAAGCAGGCTAGAGACACTGGGCCAGATCGGATGCTGCGCCTCATGCACTTTGAAGCAGGCTAGACGCACCGGGCCGTGAAAAATTGATGACTCGAGTCGTAATAATAATTAATTGGGCAAGTGTGCCAGTGTGGGCCAGTGGGCCAAAGAAATGTGCATGACATGTCAATGACATTTGCATGCATAAACATGCATTGAATGGCATGCGAGTGTGTGAGACTCGGTGTATGAGCATGTGATTGGCGTACGTGTGATAATGTGTGCCACGTATGTCCCGTGATTATTACATATTGAACTATCTAACCTGCAGGGTCAGAGAATTGTATGATTATGGTTGTGTTATGATTTTAAATGTTTGTTTCCAGTCAGGAGATTGCATGCTAGCCTAGCCTAGGTTTAGGGGTTAAACTCACTGAGATTCGTCTCACGGTTGTGTAAACCGAAACTTTTCAGACCCCCAGCAGTAGGATGCCGAGGTCACCACCTCTTTTTGGGAATACCGCCTTTTATCCAGTAGTCGTCGAGCATGCACCCCGGTAGGGATGGAGCAGAACGGAGAAGTGGCTGTTTGGGTTATTCCCAGCTGTTGGTGTTTCCTTTTTGGTTGTCGTGAACACTGTAAAAAGAGTTTTAAAATAGTAATATAAGTATGTACATATTTTCTGCGTTGAATCTTGTTTATTGGATGGCTATCCTTGGCTCATATTGTAATTGTCTGGGTTTGTTTATTTTATACTTCCGCTTGTGCTTGATCTCTGTATGGGCGTGGGTCGGCGACGCTTCCTGGGACGTCGCAATTTATCGATCGAAGGTGGGATGCTCCCGCTTCGTGGGGTACGGGGCGTGACAAGCTAAATATTTTATGCTATGTGGGCAATTTTGTAATTTGTGCCATGTAGTGTTTCGCTATATATATTTAGGGTAAAACGGATCTCTAGAATAGAGGCAGGGGGTGAGAAAGAGTGGCTGCATACTTTTCTACGTTATTAGTGAAACGGATCTCTTCTCCCCGTGGACGTAGGTAGGCGGAACATCTCCCCTGCTGAACCACGTAAATTCTTGTGTTGTGCGAATTTCCATTACTTTCTTGCATCGTTGATAGGATCGAATTTAGATATTCGACAAAAACTTCTTAAGGACACTCCAGTTGGCACATGATCCTCTTCAAGGTTGGCACGCAAAATGGCCCTCAGCTACTGTTGATGCTTCCTCTGCAAAGTCCCTCTTCTTCATTTCGATCGGTCTGTAGAATGGAGTTTGAAGTTTTATAGCCAAGTTAGCCAGTCGCAGATCAATCATTTGATAAAACGACAACAATAGGATCAGACAGGATGAAAACTAATTAGCAAATTCTTGAGCCCCTCTACCCAACTTGTTTCCCAGAGCAGGCAAAAATTGTCCCAATTACGCAAAAGGTCATCCATGCAACTCATTGAATCGAAGTCCAAAAGTAAGCCTTGATCATTACATAGATCAACCTGACCTAGCACCAAATCAGTACCAATTTACCTTGCTTTGTAATCTTTCAAAACAACAATTTGACCAGTGGTTATAAAAAGATGATCTACAATCATATATGACAGAAAATTGAAAGGTGTTTGTTCTAAGCAAGACACGTTCCATTAGTCTAATTTGACACAAAAGAACTCACAGCGGAGTTCAAAATGCCCAAGGACTTTTCTCCAAAGAAAAAACTAATTTCGGACAGAGCAAACAATGGGTTTTGGACGCAGTTTACAATATTTGGTAGCAAAAGATCATTTGCATCTAGATAAAAAATTCAATCCTTGGTTTACGGAAAGGGAAACCGTAAATCACTAGATAATTCTTGTTTACCTATGTTGATTTTCATTCGTTGCCTCAGGAGGCACTAATCTTATTGCAGTCTGCAAAAGCTACAATTGGAAGGATAAATTAAAAAACATAGCCATACTGCAATCAACAGCAAGTATACGTTCGCAAATCCGGAGTTTTCAAAATCAATCAAATAGATACCTAGTGTGGAGCAAATCATTCTTATAAAATATAGCTTCAAAAAAGTATTACTCTTGTTGCTCACTCTGGAAGATGACCAATGCCTTCTATTGTGTGTAGACCAACATTTGGGTCTACATTTTGATCTTGGCTTATTCATCAAGTCAGCTTCTACGACCAACTCCCCCAATCCTTCAATTATGTAAGACTAGGAGCTTAGGAAAGTATGGAACCCTATCAAGGAAAACCTTCTTGTCAAAAGAAAATAGTGATGAAAAATAGGTCATCAATCTCAAAGAAGAAGGGTAATTTACTGCTTATTTACCTTTGTAAAGGAAAGATGGCTCGTCTCATTATTGTAATATGGGTATAACATGTATTACATCATTATCATTGCAATATAATATTTCGATTGCCCTCTACATATAGCTGGCTTCCATACTCTCTCATGACGCGTGTTGTAGCTAACTTCGGTATTGTTTCCAATGAGTCGCACCCAGAAATATCCAAATAAATAATATTCAACTTTTCAAGTCCCCGAAGTTGAGTAAGTTTCTTGCAGTCTCGTGCTACTAAACTTCCTAACTTCTTACATCCCGACAAATCTGGCAAAGTTTGCATTGATTTGCATCCTGTGATATCCATGTGCCTTAGAGATCTTGATTTCTCAACCCCAGGAATTTCTGTAACATGAAGCGAACACTTCAACGTGAAAGTCTCTAAATTTTTAAATTTCGACAGGTTTGGTAGTTTTTCTAGGGATTTGCACTCCTCTATGTATATGCTTCGACAAAACAAGAATCTCTCGAGGCTCTCAACACTACGTAGATTGCGACAGCCATTGATATTCAACTCTTTCAGGGTCGCAAAGCATGATAGGTCAGGTAATCTTTTAATGGACCCACAACAACGTATATCCAACGTCTCTAAGAACTCCATTCTATCAAGACCTCGAATTTCGACTAGATTGTCACAATGACTAGCTGTGAATTTCTTCAAGCACCGTACTTCGACAAGGATCAGCCTTTCAATGGACTTGCAATGTGATATATGTATCTCCTCCAAGAACTCCAAATTATCTAGTCTCTGAATTTCAACTAGATTATCGCAATATTTTACGTATAATCGTTTCACGCAATTTAATTGCGAAAGGTCCAATCTATCAATGGAACCGCACTTTCCTATTGTAAACTCTTTTAGATGATCTAATTGTGAAAGCTCCGGGATGTATTCAAGTATATTGCAATTAAAAAGATCGAGTACTTCCAAGTGGATTAGGCAAGAAACCTGTGGCAACCTGCGACTCTGACAGGAGATGCTCAGATTTGTTAAGCTGGAAGGAAGCTTTGGCAACGACCGCAGCTTGAAACAGCCCCATATGCTAAGTTTTTGGAGATAAGACAACTCACCAATTTCACTTGGAACCCCTTTTAGACTACTGCATTTTGTGAGAATTAGACTCTGCAGTTTTTGCAACCTTCCGATAGTACCGGGTAACTTTTCAATCGCACAATAACTCATGTCCAAATGTTGCAAATTCTGTAAATCCCCAATTGAGCTAGGGATTTTTCTTAATGCCTGACAATGACCTAGGTTAAGGTGTTGGAGAGAAGAAAGATTCCCAATTGAGCTAGGGATTTCTCTCAATGACTTGCAACCCCAGGCACTCAGTTTCTCCAGCTTTCTCAGAGAACCGATTGACGAAGGAATCTTTGTAATACGAGTACAAACTACCTCAAGTTCTTTTAGTTCTTCTAATTCGCCCACTTCCTCTGGTATCTTCTTGAGATGCCAACAGTGACTCAAGTCCAAAGAAACAAGGCTCTTCACTTTGCCAATAGAAGGGTGTACTTGCTTTAGTCTATAACAACTTCTCAATATGAGAATTTCTAACTCTGTGAAAGTTGAGAGATCAGGAGTACATCTTATATTAGCACAATCTGCAAGGTTGAGAACTTTCAACCGCTTTGCCACCTACACAAAGGAGAATAATGAGTTGATCGACAAAACAAAACAAACAAAAAATCTCAGATGATGTCTTTTCTCCGTCTTACCATAATTGAACTCCATCCTCTCCATTGTTCTGTGATCCAGGGTTCTGACAACTCTAGCACCACTAATTTCGGCAGACGCAAACTGGTTGCCGAAAAAGACCGTTTGTTAAATATGGTCAATCTTTTCTTTTTAGTGCCATGCCAGCGAAGCCATCTCAATTCAGAAAACAGTATGTCAAAGTTTCCACTTAAAGCCACACACTTCATATGAAGGAACCTTAAGCTTTGTAACTTTTTAAACTGTCTCTTTCTATATCTCCGGAAATAGCCAATGTCTTTGTGGAGACAAATTGCCTGAATCTTTTCAGTTCCCTGTGTATCAAATCAATCGATTAAGTATCTGGATAAGTATCTGATCTTTTAGTTTTTTTTTTTTAATTTTGGACTTGCGCAATTTGTCATTTTTCTACCCTTGCCATATCTAAATGTTGACACCTAAACTCCGATTCAATTTTTTTGATAATCTTTTGAAATTTAAATAATATTTTAATTTTGGCATTAAAATAAAAATAATAATATATCTTGCTTCTAAAAAATCTAAGACAAACGGACCTCAATGTTTTGCATATGGTTGTTTCCATAATTTTGGCACCATTTCTTTTGCGTCTCATAAGTAAAATAATACTGTTTGACTTTCCTTTTGAAACAGATCATTTAATTAGTAGACGATCATGGAAAAATCCCATATGGCTTTGATTGACTTTAATAAGAGAATGACGATAAGAATTGTGGAAGATATGGGGTGATGATGAAGAGGATGAGGGGTTTTACGCCATTAAGTTCTAATATCTGTTGTATATATGCTTAAAGTTATCATAAAAATCTACCTGAAGTTTGCATTTACATATCAAATACCACCCTACTTTAGGAACTTATAAACTTGCATATTGAATTTTGCCATTTCATATCAACTTGCATCCTGACAGCCCTTCTTTTCTACAGAAATCGCCAATTTTCCTTCGTACCCTTGTCCCAAAACAACCCATAACCCCTAACCCAAACTTCTCTCTCCTATCCCATCACCGGTTGGCTACCAACCCCTAGCTTATCGCCGCCGTCTCTGCCTCAGATATGGTCCAGAGTATGGTCTCTCATGGTCGCAGCCATGGGAGACTTGCATGTTCGATGACAAAGCTTGCTAGGCTCGTGCGAGCCCCACCTAGTTGACTTGAGCTATTGCGAGCTCCGTAAGAGAGAGAGGAGAAGACGAGGGGGTGTCGCGAGGGACATCAGCACCGGCATCGGGTGCCAGTGACAGCGGCGGAGAGAGGTGGATGAGAGAGACTGTAGTGGTGTGAGGTGGGTGAGGAGGGCGGGGAGGGAAAAGTTGGGTGTAGGATTTGGGTAGGGTTTGAACAAGGCCCGCGGTGTAGAGTTTGAGAGAAAAGAAATATGTATTAAGAAAAGTGAAAAGTGATAAGGAAAAGGCAATGGCAATGAAAGATAAAAATAAAGAGAAATAATAAAATTCTCATTTTATCATTCACTTAACCTAATCCACGAGATGAACAAGGTCAACCTAGGAGTGTCAAACGAGGGGTTCGGGTCAAATTTGAGGGTCAAATTTGAGTCAGGTTGAAAATAGCCCGACCCATATTGACCTATTTAACCTATTTTGACCCATATTTATGTAGTGTAAAATCTAGCGATCCATACCCGACTCGACTCGTATTCTAAAAGACTTTAATATAAAATCCAACTTAGAAAAAAACTTGTTTATTACAAATTTTTAGAAATATTTATATTGCTAAAAATTTTTATAAAAAAAATCATTTTTCAATATTTTTATATATCTTTATTTTATTTTATTTTAAAAAAAAAATCAAAGGTTTAATTATTTTTTCTTTTTCTTTTTCTTTTTTCAACTTTTTTTTTCCTTCTTCTTTGGCCGGTTGCCGGCCATGGCAATGGCTGATGACTGGCCACAGGTGAGCTTGGCCAAATCGGCAAGCTTCGAGCTGGAGCTCACCAGATCCTGGCGAACTCGAGTCTCGCCAGATCCTGGCGAACTCGAGTCTCGCCGACCTCTAGTGAGCTCGAAGCTCGCCAATATGGATGAGCTCGACCTTGCCGGCATCTGGCGAGCTTGAAGCTCGCCAATCTGGATGAGCTCGAGCTTGCCGATCTTTGGTGAGCCCGAAGCTTGCCGAACGAGCTCGAGCTTGCGATCTGGACGTGCTCGAGCTCGCCAATCTGGACGAGCTCGAGCTCGCCTATGGTCGATCGCCAGCCATTGCCACGGCCAATGATCGGCCAAAGAAGAAGGAAAAAGAAAAAGAAAGAAAAGAAAAGAAAAGAAAATTAAAAATTCGATTTTTTTAAATAATAAAAAATTATTTTTTCTTAAATGACATGTTATGATTCACTTAAGCTATTTAGCCTACACGTTAATAACTTAAATGGGTCGAATATGGGTTTGTTGCAAATCCATATAAACTTAGGCTTTAACATTGCAAACCCATTTTGACCTGTTTTCAAAATTTCAAGTGACCCATATTTAATTTGGGCACACTAAAAATGAGTTAATAAATGGGTTTCCGACTCATATTTCCACCTCTAGGTCAATCTAATACAACCTTAACAAAAATAATACGATTTTCTAAATTCAATTCTTAAGGGGTTTTCGCTATCATATCTATTAAGAGGAAAGATGAATGAGAAAATATAGATGTAACTAGTAAAGGGAAAGATAGGTATCTTCAAAATAAAAGAGGAGAAATAACATATTAAACATGGGTCCCAAATCTAGGGGCACCAAGTAAATTCGGCCGTAACAGAAAGTAAGCACCCGTAATTAGTGTAAATTTGACACCTCAATTTCAATGTTGATATTTTGTTTGATTATTAGTTATTAGAATTGGCACCTATTATCTATTATTATTGTGGACAAAGTGATCTTTAGTTATTTGATCTATGATGTTTATACTTCATGTCTATTTATTGTTGTAGTATTTCATATTGTCAATATTTTCAACTAAATACGAAAATTACACACTTTTAGTAAACAAGATTTTTAGTGAGGAATCGTAGTTAATTAATTTCGAACTTATTGTAAATTAAATTCTTGACATACATTATATACGTCATTGAATTTGAATATTTTGAGATATTCTATTTAGTAATCATCACGTGACTTTTTCATCCTTGGAGTATTTATGACACATTTACTTGTCACAATTGCTCTATGATGGACATGAATCATGAATGGACCTTTTTACTGAAAAGTAGAAGCATTTGTTCATACCAGAAAATATTAAAATAGATCTGATTAATATATGCAAATATTGGGGAGAGGGAAAGAAAAACGAGTGCCGTATGTTACCTTTCCTCCCATTAGTACTCCAGAGGCTTCCTTATTGTTCCATAATCTGCTACGTCTCTCAGGTGGTCCTTCTTGGCAAACAATATTTCTTCCAAGATCTCTCAGTTGATCATGCATCCTTAACTTACCATCATTCTCAATTTTTATTAAACACCTCAGCTTCAACTCTTCAATTCCTTGATTTGCATAAAATCCACAATCTTCCCACATGTACATGGCAAATTTGCTCTCTTTGCCAATAAAGAAACAAGCAATATCGAGAAAAATCTCCTGATGTCCTCGCTCTAATGCATCAAAACTTAACTTCAATATATTTTGGACATCTCTATTGGGTTCGTTTCTTAATTTTTCAAGCATATCTTGCCATACTTTTCGATTTGTTTTTCCGTACAAATATGAACCAATAACCTCTAGAGCCAAGGGAAGCCCACCCATAGTGGAAATGATATCACGAGAGATATCCTCAAAACCCTTCGAAGAATTATTCATACGAAATGCATGCTTGTTAAATAAAAGCAAAGAATGCTTCTCGTCTAAGTCATTCAATTCATACTTGTAGTCAACCTTGAATCTGGACTGATCAAGAATAGATTTATTTCTAGTTGTAACAATGATGATACTTCCCCAAGTAAACCAGTCAGGTTCTCTAGCCAAAGCATTTAAGTGATCCATGTGATCTATATCATCCAAAAGTATGAGAACCTTTTTTCCTTTGAATCTAGATTTGATCAAACTAATTCCATCATCAACTTTCATAATTTGATCTTTGATTCGCAATATATCCTTAAGTAGTTGATTTTGTAGATAAGGAATACCATTGCGATGAGCTGTTTCTCGAATATCTGGAAAAAAGCTATGATGCTCAAAGTTATTTGACAACTCGTTGTAGATGACCCTGGCGAGAGTCGTTTTACCGATCCCACCCATGCCATATATTCCAATCATTCGAGCAGCATTGGCAGGATTGTCTACCCAATTCCTGATTTCATTCAAATGATTGCCAATTCCAACTAAGTGCTCAGTAACATCAAGTTGAAAATCATGTCGCAACTTGCTAAGAACAATTTTGATGACTTTTTCCACTAATTCTCCTTCATGCCTGTCAAACAATGAATTCCCGATAACTTCGTGGTTATACTTAATCTCATCAAAAGACACACAAATTTGTGCAGGATGAATGGGGCCAATTAACATGCAAGATGTATTGGTTTTATAAATAACAGTGGATGATGATGGTGTAGCTGTCATTTCATTTTTTTTTCGCATCCTTTTCTGCCAGTAGGTAGATCTTGTTGAAATAGAAAAAAAAATGGTGGACCTGGCTCGTTAAGAGTCTTTAGAAGTATAATGTTTGGTATAAGGCTTCAGATAGGTTAAATTTTTTTTTTTTGGTTAAATAAAGTTTAAGAAGAGGGGTGGTTTCCCTGCTCCTTCGGCGGAAATCAAACTTAGACATGGTAAATGTGAAGTGTCTGATCCTTCAATTGAGCCAAGCCCTGTTGGCATAAGGTCTATTATATCTGGGGGTGATCAAGCTTTGGAAGACTGAGCATTTGAGTCCTTTCTAGGCATATTGTTTAGTGATTGATACTATTGGC